GCAGCCACAGATCGCACCAACCCTCCAAATGTCTCCAAAGGAGACATTTCCTTTTGTGTGGGCTGAGTCAAATATCACTGGTTTTTAGAAATCCCCACAGGCCTGATCCTTCCTGTCTGTTCAGAACAAAAACTCCCATTGAAAGTCTTGCTCTCGTTGCTGTTCCGTTCCTGGAGGGTCCATGGGAGTCCGTGAGAGCTGAATATGCAGAAGCTGCTCTCAGCCCAATTGCAGACCTAGATCCTGTAAATGCTTATGCACATGCTTAACTATAAGCACATGTCTGGTCCTGTTGATTTCAAGGACATTACTCACATACTTGGTGTTGCACATGGGCCGAAAGTGTTTCCAGGGCTAAGTTTGCAAGATTAGGATCAAGGTGTGAGTAGTACACATGCACATACACATGCACGCACGCACACACACACACACACACATATATATATATTCCCTCTTCCTAGCAAGCATGCATTTACAGACCATAATCCTTTAAATCTGAATGTAGTGTTGGCAGTGGATATTTTGCACTGGAAAATCATGCGTGATGGGCTAAGAAGGATGGCCAGGTTTCAAAAGTTAGCTGCGCGCTGCAGAGTTTTGTGTCCTTGCTATCCTAGAACACCCCCTGGGAGCAGTGAAACAATATATAACAATAAGATAATATCTCTCTTGACGATAATCACTGACTGACTGACTTTTGTCACCTGCCTTGACTTGCATTTTTTTTTTTTTGGGTGGCTTCAAGTAGGCGGAAAATATGACATTTGCAATTATTTTTCGTGTGGTCTGGGCTCAATTTACAGCCTGTTGTCTTTCCAGTGCTTGAGATCAGGTCCCTAAATTGGATCCTGATCATATTCAATGAACAGAATCAGGCCTTTCAAAATCCCTGGGACCAGTATTTCACCCAGGGGTTTTTCCCTCTTTTCAGCTACAGACACACACGTAGGCCAGGTACAGACATTACACTTTTATTGGTGTAAGTGATTGGAAACTGGTCTGTACCTGTGACGGAACAGAAGTTCGGCACACATAGACTGATTTAAAAATAGTCCGGCCCGGCCTAAGATTCGCCTGCCCCCCACCAAAGGGCAAATGTGTATTCTGTTCGCTACCGATCTAAACCGTTCTGCTTACAGAAAACCACGTAACTTAGATCGATCCCGCCTCACGCTTTTTGAATGTCTGTGCCTAGCCTTTGTCTTTGCCATTAAAACACAACCAAGGCTAAAATGATTCCTGTATTGCTGCACACCTTGCCTATTGGGCCTACATAGCTAGGACCTAATCCCTGCAGCCTAGATACACTCCTACTGCACCAGATCTCTGCATCAGATCATAGAGAGATTTCCCAGCAGGTTAATGCAGGCATGGGGTAGATTTTCTCTGGGCTAAAGAATCAAACCCCAGATCTGTATGAACAAAACCAGCCCCATTCCCTTCCCTAAGAGTTAATTATTATTAATGTTGTGAGTGGCCCTAACAAAAGCCAGGCAGCATAATGCTAATGCTGACAGTGCCCCTTACATTTATGTTCATAGTCTGGGTTTGCTGTACTGTGTCTAAAGACTTGGTGGTTTTTTACATTGTGTGTGCCTCAGTATACAGCAGGTTGTCATGGGGCGGTTTGGAGCACAAAGGGAATTAGACTCTGTTCTTCAAGGTGCCAAGAATTACCCTTGGCAAATCAGCAAATTACTTAAGCACATGCTTAATTTTAAGCATACACGCGACCCAATGGAAGCCAATGAAGAGGGGTGGAAACAGAGCTTGGGCCCTATTTAGTGTTCATGAAGGGTGGACAGAACTGTGCGGCATTAAAAGGTCTGATTTCAGAGCCCCATCCACAGTAAAGGTTAGGGACGTTATATTTTCTGCATGGGAGGGATGGAGTGGGGTTATTGTGGCTGTTCATGACAAACCTTGCTAGGAACGCACCGTGTCAGGAAGTTGCCAGATGCCTGGGAAGATTTACATAGGGAACAAGGAAGGCTCTGCGAATGCCCTTTGCTACCTGGTTTGACGTAAAGTTCCACATTCTGAATTCAAGGCTGTAAATCATACTCAACTGTGTCTAAAAGTTTGTTTTAAATGATGTGATCACAATGTCAGAAGCTGTCACTCTGGCTGGCAATAGTAAGTGCAGCCCTGACATTGGTAGATCCATGAGCTTCAAGGTACCTACAGCTACAGGAGTGGGTCTGAATCTGCAGTCTTTCCATTTTCAACACCCCCAGTGGAGGCCACACTTGGCATATCCAGTAAAGTCTAATCCAACGTGTCCTGAAGTCAGTGCTCATCTTTCCATTGAGCCCTTTGCTTGTTGGCTTAGGATGCAAAGTCAGAATCAGGCCCTGAGCGTCTGGAAGAAAAGGGAATGGCATGACATTATTTAAGAGCGATCCTTGTCTCCTCTGAAAGGGGCTGCCAATTTGCTTGAGCCCTACATGAGTCTTAGCGCCTACCTTTGGATGCCCTTGGGCACCTGGTTCAGCTCCTATAGAGTTTGGCATTAAGGCACCGTGGGGATTTTCAGGATTATTCTTTTGTTCTCACAAGCTAATTTCTGGAGTCATTTATTGCCGTGCGTGAGTTTGGGGCGGTCAGTGTTCTCTGCCTCGGGATTTGGCTGATTGCGTCATTTTAATCCGGGTGCTTTTCTCTCCAACCCTGCTTTAGTCTGCAGCGAGAAGAGCAGGCACATCCTGTGCAAACTGTCAGACCACCACTACTACTCTGTGGAGGAGAAACGCCAACGGCGACCCCGTCTGCAATGCCTGCGGGCTCTACTACAAGCTGCACAATGTAAGTCGAACTGTATCACTTGGATGGTGCTTTGCATTGCGATTGCACGCGTTGCAACATCCTCCCTGATTAAACGGGCCCCAATCCTGAGAGATTCTGAACACCCTTTGGTCTCCTTGGGAGACCTTTTGGGGTCAGGCCGTTTGCTGGGATAAGGAACCAGACCCCCTCCAAATAAAATTAAAGTACAATTGATGTAACAGGCCTGGTTTGGAGTGCTCTAAAACAGGACCTTCCATTGGTAACATTAGAGCTGCACCGTGCGCAAGCCAAGAAAGGAGGAGTTTATCAGCGGAGAGAGATAATATCCACCTCTTATTGGACCCTGTGCACTGGAAAACATAACATGTTGGGTTGCAAGCTGATATGCTTTGTATGCCTAGTCCAGTCTCTCAAGAAAACAAGAACTTTGGAAAAAACCCAAGACCTGCCAGGCATTATTTAGATCTTGCTTGTTCCTTCACCGCTTTCCTCACTGCTTCAGCCCCCAGATGGTTATTTATTTCTCTCGCTCTCTTGATTTTTTTGCCCTACATGACACAAGTGATTCCTAAACTGAAGAGAACATGATTTAGTTAGTGGACTAGGGAGCCTGTAATGTTAATTTTATAAAGCCTCATTCATGGAAGGGA